GCCCAAAAATAGTTGATTTTAATTTTATTAAAATCTTTTCCGATTTGGATATGCCTCCCATATATATCTTCATCCGATTTCGTGTTAATTGTGCATCAAATGGCCAATATCAGCCCAAATGGCATGAATTTTGGCAAATCCGACCCAAACCAGCCTATAAGCAAGTACACACATTTTAGTAAAAATCGGTTCACATATAGCTCTAGCTCGATAAATATGTTTCATCCGATTTGCTCTTTAAGTCCCTTACATTCGTAATATACTCTTCACAGGAATGATATTTGGTACCAGATATCAGATAAAGCCCAAAAATAGTCGATTTTGATTTTATAAAAATCTGTTCAGATTTGGATATAGTATAGCATAGCATACTCTTCACAGGAATGATATTTGATACCAGATATCAGATAAAGCCCAAAAGTAATTTTCTCAAAATCTGTTCAGATTTGGATATAGCACCCATATGTATCTTCATTCGATTTCGAGTTAATTGTGCAACAAATGGCCAATATCAACCGAAATGGCATGAATTTTGGCATATCTGGCCAAATTCAGCCTAGAAGCAAGGACACCAATTTTAGTAAAAGTGGTTTCAGATATAGCTATAGCTCCCAAATATATCTTCATCCGATTTCGGATTAAATGTGCAGCAAATGGCTAATATTGGTACATCAAATTTAGTGAAAATCGGTCGGATACAGCTATAGCTCCTATATATACCTTTCATCCGATTTGTACTTTAAGTCCCTCAAATTCGAAAAATGTACGATACAAGAATAATATTTGGTATCAGATGCAGCCAAGAAATATCTTCTTTTCAGTTTCGAATTCAGCCTAGAATCAAATACATCAAACTTGGTGAAAATCGGTTCAGATATAGCTATAGTTCGTAAAATGCACGATAGAATTAGATAGATTTTGATTTTGTACCAAATATCTCATAGAGCTCTGAAATGCCCTGTATAAACCTTTTTACGAGAGCTCTACTAAATATGCATAGTGGTGTAGGGTATCATATAGTCGGCCCCGCCCGACTTTTGAGCTTTCCTTACTGGTTTTTTTTTAATTTTCATTTGCTTGTTTTGTGTAATTGAAGAATGAATGAAAATTGTTGGTAAGCAGTATGAGTGTTGATGTTATTGTTGTTAGTTGTAATGACTTAGGTTAACTATTATGTTGGATTCACGTTTTTATTATGATTTATTAAATAATATATATTGGGGAGAGAATTACGTGATGGTATCTCAAGTGAAAAAATTTTCTAACTTTCGAAGAAATATACGAGGTATGTGCCGTATTAAAGGCTGAATTTTATTGTGACTTTTTAGGTCTGTTAGCTTTGTAAATATATAAGATATATATAAAAAAGAGTAGAAAAATGATAGATTGACTGAGAATTAATGCCCAAACGAAATAACTAAAGCTAGAATCTGGAAATTTTGCACAAGGTTCAGTCTTGATGTGTAGGCATGTGGGATTTTTAAGATTCGTACTAAAAGGGTACAAAAAGTGTTAAAAAATACTAAAAATGGAATAATTTGTTCTAGGCAAACGGAGTGAACTAAAATTTGGGAATGATAGTCACTAATGAAATGGAATGGGTATTGGTGTTATGTGAACGAATAGAGCTAAAAACTTAAAATTTGGTATGAGAATCAAGGTTGGAAAGTAAGTTTGATATATGAAGATGGATTTGGAAATGTGTACGAACTATGCTAAGTGATACTAAATTTGGAAATCTTTGGTTTTAGATGAGCGAATGAATGTTGAATTTCGAAATTGTGTATTGGAGTCGGTGTGGCAGTAGGTTTGTGAGGTGATTTTGGAAAGTATACGAAAAGTACTAACTAGGGTAAACAGATAGCGCTTGAAATCTAAAATTTGGTGTTAGGCGTACTAGTATAGCTGTGTATGTGTAGCCTCGATATATGGAGGTGATTTCCGAAATATTGACTATAGTTGTTCTGACTATACTCGTTGAATGGTGCTGTATTTGGAAATAGCTGAAGGGATAGAGATACAATTTTGGAAATTGATATTAAGATTACTAATGGTACATGTGGTTAAGATATATTTGTACGAAAATTACTAAATGGTACAAAATTTGGATAGGGCTGAAACGGTGAAGTATTATATTGCGATAAACGTTACTGTCCTGGATTTAGATATGGAACGGATGGAAAGGCGAGTACTAAAATTATACAAAACTAGTATGCAAAGGGTATAGTCGTGCGGGGCCGATCATATGATACCCTACAACATTACAATATGTTAGAAGCCCCTTTATGTCCGAATCCATTTAGGAAGATTTCGCTTTTGAGGGTATGTCACAGAGCACTGTCTATATATTACCCTAAGCATTTTGACCAGGGACATTTGCCCAATATTTACGCTTTCCATCGTGCTTTTAGTTGCTGTGGTCCATTTTATGGCTAAATATAATCCAATGAACATCCACAATGCTAGAATTCCTCCCTGTCCTTAACTCCCTTCTCAGGCGTGGCGATTGGCTTCAATTGTGTGATCAGGAAATTTTTTCTGTTTTTGGTTCATATTTTGCGATCATCTCCAAAAGCAAGAGGCCCCTCTGTATCTCTAAATTTAGACTCATCTATATGATTTGCTTGTAACGCCTACGATATATGGGTATATTCGTCAACGAAATCGACATAAAAAGCCAGAAGTTACCCATTTTGTTAGCATTTCGGTAGAATGGAGATGTTGGTATTTTTTCACACAAAAGTAGTTGTCACTTCTACTTGCTATCCTAAACTCTAACTTCATGAGAGAATTCATGTCCTTTGGTTTCTATTTGTGGCCTTTGCAACGGCTGCAAAATCAGGAACATTTTTAGTTGTTGGTCCATTTCAACCCCTAAATATATTGCGGACATCTTTAACAACAATAGGCCTAGTCCTTCTTACCTTAAGCCCCCTCTTATACAAATTTTCGGGAGGATCGGACGATAATTGCAAACTGTATACAATAACCCCAGCCTGTATTATAAGGTGAAAAATTATTACGAAGTATACACTTCAATATTATAAGTCAAATTGAAAAAATCGCATGCGATAAAAAATATGAAAAAATAAAAAAAAAATCTCGCAAAATACTACAAAATCTATATTAACATCATTATTGGCATATTTTTCATGCGATTTTGATTTTATATTTTTATGCCAGGAAGGCATTCTGAATTGCCAAATTTGTCAAAATCGCTTCAGCAATTCTTGAGATATAAGAGTTCCGGTCAGAATTGACCTTTTAGTCTATTTGTGATTTCGCCGGGATTGAAAATATTCGCGGTTTATTGGAAAATTTGACTTCTATAATTGCGACCTGTAGAACAACTGCAAAATCAGGAAATTTTTCAGTTTTTGGTCCATTTCAACCCCAAAATATTATGCGATCATCTCTAACAGCAAAAGGGTTCTATTCTGGCCCTAGTCACTCCTCTAATTTAAATTTCGTGAAGATCGGGCCATAATTGCGACCTGTAGAGTGATTACAAATTAACATGGACAGACGGACGGACGGACATACATAGGTAGATCGACTCAGCTCGGCGAGATAGGAAGATTCATATATACTTTTTTTATGTGGGAAACCAATATTTCGAGGTGTAACATAATTTTTGGCCCAATCAAACTTATAATACCCCCAACACATAGTGTTGTAGGGTATAAAGAACAAAAAACTTTTTTTTACCCAAGTTTGAAGTAGATGCTTCTAGGATAAATTTAGTCAGAATTGCCAAGATTCAGTTAATTTGGACTGATATTAGCCATTTTTTACACGATAAACCTGAAATCGGATAAAGATATATATGGGAGCTTTATCCAAATCTGAACCGTTCTCATTTCTGATCTGTATCTGATGGTACCAAAGATCATTGTTGTAGAGTGCATATTGCGCATGTGAGTGACTTAAAACCTCAAATCGGATGATACATATATATGGGAGCTATAGCTATATCAGAACAGACTTTCAACAAATTGGATTTACTTGCTTCTTGACTGAATTTGGTTGTATGTGTTAAGATTCAGGTCATTTGGATTGATATTGGCCAATTGGTGCACAATAAACCTGATATCGGTCTGAGCCGATCTCGATAAAATTGTACAGAGGTGTCTGGTATCTGAACCGATTTTCACAAAATTTGAAGTAGTTGTTTATAGGATAAATTCAGTAGGAATTGCCAAGATTCGGTTCATTTGGGCTGATATAAGCCATTTGGTGCACAATTAATCCGAAATCGGTTGAAGTTCAATGTTGTATCTATATCCAAATCTGATCTGATCTCGATATAATTTGATAGAGGTATTTCTAGGCTGTATCTAATATCTGTTCCAAAGATCATTGTTGTATGAATTTGGTAGTATGTGCCAGAATTTATATTATTTGGACTGATGTAGGTCTTTCGGTGCACAATTAATCCAAAATCGGGTGAAGATATAAAATTTCAAAAAGGGTTCGTCCTTGAGCCAAGCAAATGATTTGTGGAAAATTTCATCTCTATTGGATAACAAATGCGACCTGCAATTTGTTCACAAAAATGCATGGACAGTCGGAACGACTGACATACATAAATCGGTTCAAAAAGTGATTCTATGAAGATCCTCAAAAGCAACAAAGGGTCTATCTCGCTTTCTTCTTCACGTTACAAACAAATACATAAAACCCTTACCACTATGTGGTGTGGGATATAATGAATTCGCAGATTTCATCTTCACTGTATCCGAAGGGCACATTCTCTACTCAGCTGTTCTCTTCAAGCAACCACTTGGAATTAGTTATAATTACACAGCGAGAATATAAATACATATTTTGTAATTACAAAAAAATAATGCAGACTTACAAGTTCCAACAATTAAATTTTATAGTTTCAATTAATAATTCTCAACAATTAGAGAATCAATGTAACTTGATCCAGAGTCTGGAGGTGAGATGTTTTTTCAATGAGACTCAGTTTTGTTTAGTTATTTCCGCATTATTGACGTGGCCTTGTTGGAATTGTGTTTTGATTTGACAGAAAACGTTGACCATGGGATTTGGTCGATTTGAGTTTGTCCTTGTGTTTCTTATAGCCAGCAATGGGGTTAATTCTTTGGATACGTTATTTGAACTAACCTCAGATACCATCGATGTGGCATGTATGCAATTGATTTGCAGTTTTCATTTGGATTGCTATCATTTCCTATACCGAATTTAGGTAGAGCTGTCAAAGATGCCGTCCAAACATTTCCCCTTAATCCGCCCTACATTGAAAAGGTCTCATTCCAGCTGAGAACGGCATGTGGTACCATAGAATTTCCCGTCGAACAAGCTGCCAAATTGCGACAATTTCGGCAATTCGATGTTCGCAAGAAGACAGCATTCTTTGTGGCCGGATGGATTGCTCCACCGGATTATTATTATACGAAGGATATTATAAAGGCCTACAATTGCCGGAGGGATTATAATTTTGTGGTAAAAATCAGTTATAGCGACTTTAAATTAACTTTTCGGGGTCGATAGTTTGGTTGACATCGGAATGTACATACATATGTTATAGATTAGTGTTGTGCAAAATTTTGAACGAATCAGTTCAATTGAAAGATTCAGATGCGAGGTAAGTGGTGGAGCAGCGCAAAAAACCCGCGAAGAATTTAATACAAGTTTCGAATAGAAGTATCCAAAGTTATTTTTGTCAGATGTTGGGCGAGGATTAATCATCAAAACGGCGGAAATGTGAATTGCTGGAACCTGAACTAGTTCGCACGAAAGAGCGTAACTTTTAATGGCACGCTCCAACATCAAGTTAATTTTTCCATGCGGCTAAACGAGTGTTGTGTTTCAAGTGATTCGAATGAGTAGAGGACGGAGAGCATTGTTAAATAAGAAACCAACCTAGTTAACTCAAAACAATGGCAACCAAAAAGCTTTCCGAAATGAACAAAAATTCCAAATGGTTTGAGATTTTTGTACCCTACACCACATAGTGGCAATGGTATTATGTCTTTGTGCATTTGTTTTTAACATGAAGAATGAAGCGAGATAGACCCATAGTTTCTTTTGAGGATATTCATAGAATCTGATTCTGAGCCGATTTATGCATGTCAGTCCGCCCGTCCGTCTGTCCATATATACTTGTGAACAAAATACAGGTCGTATTTATTATTCCATTGAGATTAAATTTTCCAAAAAATATTTGTTTTGGCCAAGGACGAACTCTGTTGAAATTGGTGATAATCGAATCAGATTTAGATATAGCTCCCATTTATCTTCAACCGATTTCAGGTTTATAGTGCACCAAATGGTCAATATAAGCCCAAATGACCTGAATTTTGGTACATCCCATCGAATTCAGTCTAGAAGCAAGTACATAAAATTTGGAGAAAGTTCGTTTCAGATATATCTATAGCTCCCATATATATGTTTCATCCGATTTGTTGTTTAAGTCCCTTACATTCGACAATAATGATATTTGGTACCAGACATCTAATAGAGCTCGGAAATACCTTTGCCAAATGTTATCGAGAACGGTTAATATTTGTATATAGCTCCCATATATATCCTTAATCCGATTTCAGGTTTATTGTGCAAATAATGATCAATATCAACCCCAATGGAGTGAATTTTGTATTTTTCCATTTTGTGGATCTCGGCTCCAATATATATTTTTATACTCTCCATCTTGGAAAGGAGGGTATATTAACTTTGTCATTCCGTTTGTAATATCCATAAATATTCGTCGTAGACCCCATATATCAGTGTAAAATTCTAAGTCGATTTAACGAGGTCCGTCTGTCTGTTGAAATCACGATACAGCCCACATTATTTGACGTAGAGCGTCAAAAATTTAGTATAACAATTTGTATTGTGTCTAGGACGGTTGGTATTGAATATGAGATATATCGGTCCCCGTTTTGGTATAGTTCCAATATAACGGTACCTACCGATATTCGGTATTTTGATTTTTCACGGATTTGTCTGAAAATTGGTATTTGTAGGTCATAATGGGTCCTATGGGTGGCGGAATATTGTATGTATGGGTCCACGATTTGGTACTTCCCGATTTTTGGTATTTTGATGATTTTTGACCCATTTTTCAATGGACTTGTGTAAAAATTGGTATTTGTAGGTCATAATGGGTTTTATCTTCGGCGCAGGACATTGAATATCTAGGTCCATCATAGTCACATTTACCCACGATTTTTTTTATGATTTGGTATTTAAGACTCATAATAGATAACAATCGTTGTAATTTAAAGTTGTCTACATAGGCCCCATATAACGGCCTCACTCACTTTATGGTTTTTGATAAGTGAAGTTTTCTTTTGTGAAGATACTTTTATATGAAATTGTTTTCTTCACCCAAGAGGTGGAGGGTATTAAAAGTTCGGCCTAACCGAACTTAATGGTATTTACTTGGTATATTTAATGTAGTGAATTTAATTTGTCCTTTTTTGTTTTCTATCTTTCTAAGTACCAATTTACACATAAAAGTTTGAAGAAAATAATCGAGTGTTGGGGCTATTTCCCAACTTTACTAAGGTTGACCACCACGGCCATAACTGCCATCAATTCAATTTCATTTGGAACGATATAAACTTGCCGTCTCTGGCAGTAGCTAACTTCTTTCTCTGTTGTCATTCAGCAACTAAAACTTCTTACCCGTGATACGCCAACGGACACTGCATATCTTTAATGTCCCAATTGTTAGTAATACTTACTCCACGAGCAATATACTCCAACGCATAAATTACATGGGCAATATTTTACATCAACAGCATGGTCGAACTCCAATTCGCACCTTCTCCACGAACAATAATCCAACGATCAGTAATATTATTCTTCGATTATTTTAGGATTTTACTTATACTCTTGCTCATGTACATTTAATTGGAATAGAAAGACTTTTTACTGGCTATTAAAATGTATTTATTAATGTTTCAATGAACATTTCTCCTTGGCTGCAAAAACGGAATGAAAAAATTACAATTGAGTTCTATGCAAACCGTGCCTATTTTCTTGCACTGATGCTTCTTCTTACAATTACAATATTGACTTTTAATCTCAAATTCTATTTTTTTTGAAGTTCACGACTTTCTTTCTCTCTGTTATGGGAGTGATGTTATTCTTGCTCTATTGTTGTTATTCTTGCTCTATTGTTGTTATTCTTGCTCTATTATTTCTACAATGAACATAACGAGAGAAAGAGAATAAAAAGGGGGAAGAATAACAAGGAGCAGTGTTTGGGTGGGGTATGTTTAGTGAAAGCTGCAGTGATGCTGCTTTAGAGTTTCCACATAAACATCGTGTTTTATCATAGACAAATAAAGGTATAGACTAAAAAGTTTTAAAATTTCCCCTTCCGGCAGATGTCACTATTGTTGATCTTGGGCCAGTCAAGTCACTCAGGGCTAGTGAAGTCACTCGACTTCGAAAACAATTTATTTATTTTTCTGTTATTTAAGTTCTATATTGTTATATATATTGATAAATAATAAAGAATCATAAAAATATTCAATATTTTGTATTTTGAGAGAATTGAGTGAGTCTACTGAACCTTTCTCACAGCATGAACGACATCTATTGAATCACTTTTTTTCAGATATAACAGATGAGACAACTTTTTAGTCTATACCTAATTTGTCTATGGTTTTATGTAAAAATGTCTTAAAGGAGAACAAATTTACTTTCTTCGGTTCTAGATTTTAAACACCTTCTTTATTTTACAATAAACTTTGTACGTGTAAATTGGGACTTACCTTGAACTACAAAAATGTTTATGTTTCATATAATTTCTCCCTCTCCTTTCAGTTGGTGAACACCGGTGGCTTTATAACAAATCTCTACGCCAACTCTGCCTATCACACCGAAAAGTTGGGCAAATTTCTGGCGATCGGCCTTAAAAATCTTGGACTGCGAGTAGATAAAATGCATTTAATTGGACATAGTTTGGGCGCCCATATAGTGGGCATTGCTGGACGCTATTATCAACAGTTAAGAGGTCGTAAATTAAAACGTATTACCGCCCTTGATCCCGCCCGTCCATGTTTTGTAACACCCAGCGTATTTCCTCGCCTCCGACGTGATGATGCCGATTTCGTTGATGTAATCCACTCGAATCCCTTTCTGCTTGGCAGTGAAGAACTATTTGGTGATGTGGATTTTTTCGCTGGCGGTTATGTGGCCTCAAAACCGGGCTGTGGCATATCCATACGTTGTTCGCATGAAATTTCTGTACAATATTTTGCCGAATCAGTGTATCCGGAAAATGAACGAAATTTTGTGGGACGGCAATGTAGGAATTTAGAAGAATTGAAGGCGGAAAGTTGTAATGGACCCAAATCAATAATGGGCTTGGGCAATACTGGTGTGGCGAGAGGAATACATTATGTTGCCGTACGTTCAAGTCCACCATTCGGAGTGTATGCTAAAGCTGGAAGCTTATTTCGTACAAGTCAATGCGGACTTTGTAGGAAATAAAATTTTAGAGATAATTCAAGATTGATGTAAAGCACAAAGTAATGCAACATCTACGTTAACAATACTTAATTTAACATTAACAACCTCTACCATACAATGGAGGATATATTCACTTCATCATTTCCGCTGTAACTCCTCGAAATACTCATGTTAGGTCATATTAATAAAAGAGTAAAGTAATTGTCTGACTTAAAGAGTCATCAACGCCCAGACGAAACGGCTGGAGCTAGAATCTTTACATTTTGGTTGAGGGTCACTGTTGGTCCGAAGGCTGCGTTTTTGGGAATTCGTACAAGAACGGTACGACAAATATTAAAATGTGCTAAATATGGTACGCTTTGTATTTTGAGGAAGCAGTAGGGCTAGAACTCTTAAATTTGGAATAAGGGTCACTGATGGAGTGTATGTCAGATGTATCAAAGGGTTTTTGAAAATATAAGTGTACGAAAAGTACTAAAATGAACAACATTTGGTATAATTTCGTATCATGTAAACGGTTAGAGCTAGACATTTGAAATTTTCAATGGAAAACAAGACTGAGGAGTAGAGTCGATGTAGAAGTAGGTAGTTTTGGAAATATGTACTCATGTATACGAAAAGTACTAAACAGTACTAAATATAGTACAATTTGTATTTTGAGGAACGAATAGATCTGGAATTCCGAAATTTGAAATTAACTTTACTAGAAGTTTGACGGCTGAAGCTAGAATCTTGAAATTTTTGGAAATTGAGGGCCACTCTTGGTCTAAAGGGGTCAGAACGGTACGAAAAGTATTAGAAGTTACTAAATATGGTACTCTTTGTATTTTGAGGAAGCAGTAGAGCTAGAACTCTTAAATTTGGAATGAGGGTCACTGATGGAGAGTATGACAGATGTACTTAAGGGTTTTTGGAAATTCGCACTATAAGTGTACGAAAACTACTAAAATGAGTCATTTCGTATCATATGAACAGTTAGAGCCAGACATCTGAAATTTTCAATGGAAATTAAGACTGAGTAGAATCGATGAAATAAGATGTCGTTTTAGAAGTATATCCTCATGTATACGAAGAGTACTAAACGGTACTAAATTTAGTACAATTTGAATTTAAAGGAACGAATGGAGCTGGAATACTGAAATTTGAAATTAACTTTATTGGCGAAGTGTAGAATTGGGATATGGAGGAAGTTTTCGAAATTTGTACTTATGTGCAAGAAAAGTACTAAATGGTATTTAATTTGGCACAATTGAGGTTTGGGTGTAATGTATGACATTGTATGACTGAGTTACGTAGGTAACTTTGAAAATTGGTACTTATGTGTACTAAATGGTACTTAATTTAGTACAATTTAAATTTTGGGTGAACCGGCAGAGTTGGAATCCTGAAATATGGAAATAAAATTTCTGTTGGATTGTATAATATAGATAGTTATGAAAAAGTGTACTTAAGTGTATTAAATGGTACTAAATTTGATTTAATTTGGATTTGGGTGAACTTGAAATCTTTATTAAGAAAACTTACTTACTTGACGTAAACATTCATCAACGTCCAGACGAAACGGTTGAAGGCAGAATCTTGTAATTTTGGGTGAGGGTCACTCTTGGTTCGAAGTTGTCAAATAAGGCTGGGTTTTTGGAAATTCAAAAATTTGGTATGAGAATCAGGGTTGGAAAGTAAGTTTGATATATGAAGGTGATTTTGGAAATGTGTACTAAGTGTGCAAACCGTACTATATGGTACTAAATTTGGAACAGTTTGTTTGTGGTGATCGGATGAAGTTGGAATTTTGAGATTTTGTATTGAAATTTGTATTTGGTTTATGATTAAGATATGGTTATGGAAATGTGAAATTTTGGAAAAGTACAAAATAGTACTAAATTTGGTTCAATTTGGTATTGGGTGATCAGATAATTTGAAATTTGGTATTAGGGTCGCTGTTTATGTGTAGCCTGGACATATGAAGATGGTTTCGGATGGTTGTACGAAAAGTACAGAATGGTATTATTTTTGGTATTGGATAATGGGATATAGAAACAATTCTGAATTTTGATATTTAGATTACTGATGGTATCTGTGTTTGAGATTTGGCGGTGGTTTTGAAAATGCGTCCTCTTTTGATACGAAAAGTACTAAATAGTACTAGATTTGGTACAATTTAGTATTGGGTAAACAGATAGTGCTTGAAATTTTACATTTGATATTACAGTCGCCGTTCATGTGTAGCTTTTGCATATGAAAGGTGGTTTCGGAAATGTGTCCTATATTTGTACGAAAAAGTACTAAATGGTACTAAATTTGGTTTTAGCTGAAGGGATAGGGTTTGAATGCTGAAATTTGATATTGAAGGCTTTTTGATGTAAAAAGTTAACTTTTTCCTTTTATTGTTACAGAAAAAAAGGAAAGTTTGAATAATACAGGGTGAGATAAAAAAACTGTAACAAAGTCAAACGCCATCATTTTTACATTTTTTTTTTTAAATTTTATTGAATGACAGCAAAAAATGTCGGAAATAGCATCAAATTTTAGAATAAGTTTAGATTTGTTCGAATTGGTCAATGAAACCGTCACACGCTGCCCGAATGTTGCTATGCGGTATTTTGGCCCATTCCCAGCGAAGCGCTTGCTTTAGGTGATCGACACTTTGGTATTTTTTAGTGCCTTGCCTTCCAAAATGCTCCAGTTTTAGCTGACCTCTTTGACAAGTAAAAACGATCATTTTGTTTGTTTACAAACTGCTGGACAACGAATGTTTTCTCATCTTTCGCTCTTTTGAGTCTATTTTCTTTTTGTTGCAGTGTAAGTTCTTGCACTTTTTTCAATTTCAATGGTAAACCCATTTTAAACCCTAGAGCTCATTTTTTCAATATTTTCCGAATGGAATATTGCGATATGTTCAGCTCACAAGCCATTTTTTGGCCACTGCGACGCGGGTTGCGATCAAGTCACTTCTTTACTTTTCGAAACATTTCTGCTGATATTGCTGTTTTCTTCCATCCACTTCGTTGACGTCGGGCTACGCTACCAGTATCATGGTAGTGAGCGATGGTACGAGACACTTGCTGGTGTATATTATTGATGAGTGTAATATTCTGTGTCGATTTAGCGAGGCCCTGTTGACTCTCAGTTGTAATTACTCTCAATCGAATTTAGAATTGATGCTGTTATGGTCAACTAATTGAACCATGAACTTGATAATGCAATTATTTTAAAATATGCTTAAGAAATTGCCAAGAATCGACAATAGTTATTATCAATAATTACAATACAATGTTTCCCTCTATAAAAAAAGTAAAAGTAAACATTGCAACACACAGCCGGGAAAGTTAATTAAATAATTAAACCATTAAATGGGTTTCTTTTCTTAGGTGTTAACTTTAACTTAGCCCCGGGAATGTTGTGTACCTTATACCAGTCAGACATATAATAGTGCTATGTCTTTTTTTAATAGAATGATTTTTTTTTTGCAAATTTCCAAGTTCGTTTCAAATGGTGGAGGGTATTTAAAGTTCGGCCCGGCTTTCATTACTGCTTTTTTACTTGTTTTAATTTATTTATTCCAATTATTTGCATCCAAGCCCATTCGGCCAGCATAAATAGCTCAATACAACAAAAAGCTTAAAACTACTCCGAAGAAAACGATATAAAAAAACAGTAAAGAAAGTCCTAAAGTCGGGCGGGACCGACTTTATGATATCCTACACCACTTTGCTAATTTAGTAGAGCTCCACATAACAATTAAAAGTTGTTATGGGATAATTCAATCGAACACGCTATGATTATAATTATAATTTAAAATTCAAAGGACTAAATATGCCGAAGCATTTGTATCTTTTAAATTCGGACTTGTATTGCCCATTTGGTGTAAAATTAATTTGAAATCGGATAAAGATATATATGAGAGGTACATCCAAATCTGAACCGATCTCGATAAAATTTGGCAAAGATATTTCTGAGCTGATATATTTCCCTGAATATCGTTGTCAGGGAGTGCATATTACGGCTGTGGGTAACAAATACAACAAATCGGGTGAACAATATATATGGGAGCTATAGCTATATCTGAACCGATCTTCACCAAATTTGGCATGCTAGCTTCTAGACTCAATTCGGTCGCATGAGCCAAATTCCATCCCATTTGGGCAAATATTAGACGTTTGGTGTACAATAAAAGTAAATCGGACGAAGTTATATATGGGAGCTATATCCAAATCTGAACCGATCTCGATAAAATTTAGCAAATGTATTTCTGAGTTGCATTTGATATATCTCCTAAATATTGTTGTTACAGGGTGCATATTATGGTTGCGGAGGACAAAAATAACAAATCGGATGAACAATATATGTCGGAGCTATATCTATATCTGAACCAATTTCGATCAAACTTGGCATACTTATTTTCAGGCCTAATTTGGTTGTATGTGCAAAATTCCATACTATTCGGACTGATATTACACGTTTGGTGCACAATAAAAGGCAAATCGGACGAAGATATATATGGGAGCTATATCTAAATTTTTACCGATTATCTCCAATTTCAATCGGATAATAAATGCGACCTGCATTTAGTATTCAAATATAACGTAAGAAGCAATCGAATAGAATTAAGCATATTTATTTTCATAATTTTTACTGAATTTTAACTTACAATTTTTTTTCAGACTGTTAGCTCAAATTGATATAGGCTGCAATTGCTCTCAACGTCAATGGTATTAGCATTCTTGTGCTTCATAAAAAACAGAATTTTAAAAACTCATGTAAATGATAATAATAGGAAATGCGAGCAATTAATGTCAATTGCAGAAAGCAGACTTGTTGTGTTTTTGTTGGACGTCAAATTACATATTGAACTTCATTGCATCTGGGTAAAGAAGTAAAAGGAAAACATAAGAATGGTTAGTCTGTCATTGATGCTGGCTTGTGGCTTTATAAAAATACTATTATAAATATATTTAGAAATTCCGATACTACAATGAAAATATCAAATAGAATTTTTCAAATATTGATTTGCTTAACTGTTGGCCCCGCTGCCGTATTTTTAGATGATAATGTCAATGCCATAACTTCCACTGCTGTGACCCTTAAGAGGGCCAATTCGAATGCAATTAATGCTGGTTGTAAGTAAATAAATATTTTTCTTTATTTTTAAATTAGACATTAAAACTGTCTTTATCTTCAAGGTAATATATTTGGCCCAGCTGCTCTAAATCAAGGCCGAAATATACCACGTCTGGAAAATGTCTCATTTCAATTACGAACACCATGCATTCGCAGAGACTTTCCATTGAGCCGAGTTAAAAAACTAAGAGAATTTCCCGAGTTTGATGTCAAGAAGAAGACAATTGTATTTGTGGCGGGATGGGTTGTTCGAATGGATCGAGATTATCTGGAAGACATGGCAACGGCTTTCCACTGTCGTGGAGGAAATAACTTTTTGGTAAGGCAGAATAACAATTTTATTTTTGAAACAATTTCTAAGATATTCATTTTAATAGCTATTCAATCCGGCGGGACGCATTTCCCAATTATACGTACACTCGGCGGCCAACGTTGAGAAATTGGGTCAATTAATTGCCATAGGTCTGGTAACATTATCCATTCCCCCAGAAAACATCCACCTGATTGGTCATAGCTTAGGTGCTCACATTATTGGCAGTGCTGGACGGTATTATCAAAAATTAACTGGACTTAAGCTAGCTCGCCTAACAGGTTTAGATCCGGCCAGACCATGTTTTGTTCGACCCAGTGTTTTTCCACGTTTGCGACGTAGCGATGCCAAATCCGTCGATGTCATACACTCAAATCCCACCGATCTCGGTTTGGAAGATTCCCTGGGACACATTGATTTCTATGCGGGGGGTCTAGATGTTATTAAGGCCGGATGTAAACCATTGTCGATACTATGTTCTCACGAGATTTCAATATATTATTTTATGGAAACTGTTTATCCCGGTGGGGAGAAGAACTTTGTCGGTCGACGCTGCAGAGGCTATGAGGAGTTGTTCTATAAGAAATGTTCGGGATCTGCCGCGTTTATGGGTTATGTTGCAAACGACAGTATGAAAGGAGTTATTTATACACCAGTACGAGATCGATTGCCATATGGGCTGAATGCAAAGTTCACAGACAGAATTCCGCAACAATGTGGGAAATGTTAATTATTTGTATTTATTAAAAAAAAAAAGAATATTTATTTTAGTTTAAGACCGGTTTGAAAGTATCAGTCGGTTTAACGACAGATGTGGACCTTCGGTGTAGGATGTGACTTTATTTTGCTTATATCGCTAGGTGCAAAGTTAAGAGTAAGTATTAAAAGGTACAAAATATGGTATCCTTTGTATTTGAGGAACCAATGGAGCTAGAACTCTTAATTTTATAACGATGGAGTGAATGATAGATGTACCAAAGGTTTTTTGGAAATTCGAACAATAGGTGTACGAAAAGTACAAAATTTGATACCATTTCGTATCATGTGAACGGAATGTGAATGTGTGTACTAAACGGTACTAAATTTAGTACAATGTGAATTTGGAGGAACGGATGGAACTGTAATCCTGAAATTTAAAAATAACATTGCTGGCGGAGTGTAGAATTGGGATATGGAGGAAGTTTCGAAATTTGTACTTATGTGTACGAAAAGTACCAAAAGGTACCAAATTTGGTACAATTTCGATTTGGATGAACCGATAAAGCTGAAATTCTGAAATTTAGAAATAAGATTGCTATTACATTTTACTATTGAGAAAATTCGTACTTATGTGTACAAAATGGTACTAAATTTGGTACAATTTTCATTTTCAGGGAACCAATAGAGTTGGAATTTGGAAATTTGGATTACTATTGCATTGTAGGACTGAGGTGTGTAGGTAGTTTTGGAAATTCGCACTTATGTGAACTAAATGGAACTATATGGTAAGAAATTTGGTACAATTTTAATTTTTCCGTGAACAGGCAATATAGGAAATATTCCAAAATCTTAAGTTTGCCATTTGAAGGTGGTTTTGGAAATATGTACTAAGTAAGGAAACAGTACTTAATTGTACTAAGTTTGGAACAGCATTGGAGTATGTCATATACTATTTATAGCGAAACACTTGGCACGGTGGTTATGGAATTGCAAGACAACAATTAATAACAGAGGTTGTCAACAGGTATAATACAATGATTAGTTTTATAAAAAAATAAAACAAATGCTTGAAGAAAAAATCTAAGGCAAACTTTGAAATCCAAATAAGCTATTAAATAATTAACTTTGTAAAACATAAAATGGATTTCATTTCTTGTGTCTTGATTAATATTTTATACCCTACATGAAATCATTTTATAGGGCGGGAGTGATTTTGTTACATTCTTATTTGCTAGGGGGAAGGGGGTTTTGAATCTGACTTCAAGTGTTATACCAACAATGCTCTGCGACAGCTCCATACTTAAGTATAATGTTGAGATCTATTGTGGGTTAGTTCAAAATGAAGCTAGAATTGTCATTTTGTGCAAGGGTCAGTCTTGGTGGCTGGCTTTTTGGAAATTCGTACTACAAACGTCCAAAAAGTACAAAAATTCACTAAAAAATTAATACTTTGTACTGGGCAAACCGAATGAGTTAGAAATCTTAAATTTGGAATGAGTGACATAGGAAATATATAACAAAGTGTTTCTGGGAATACCATCGTTAGGGTAACGAAAAGTTCTAAAATGGTAGTAACCTTCAAAAATTTTATCATTTTGGTATTATGTGAACGGATAGAGCTAAATATTTGAAATTCGGTATAAGAATCTAGGTTGTAAAGTAAGTTTGATATGTGAAAATAGTACAAAATTTGGTATTTGGTGAAGGGATAAAGCCGAAATCCTCAAATTAAATATACGGGGGTATATTTGCAAATGTGTACTAAGTGTACGAACTGTACCAAATGGTACTAAATTGGAAACACTTTGGTTAAGGGCAAACGCATGCATCCGAAATTTTGAAATTTGTTGTTAGAGTCTCTGTTGGTCGTAGGTTTATGATAAAGATGTGGTTTTGGAAATGTGTACAAAAAGTACTAAATAGTACTACATTTTGTACAATTTGGTATGGATTGAACAGATAGAAATCTAAAATTTGGTATTAGGGTCGCTCTTCATGTGTAGTCTGAAAATATGGAGGTCCATTCGGAAATGTGTACCATAATTATTACTGAATGGTATTAAATTTGGAACACTTTTGGCGATAAAGAGGTTGTCTTGGAAGAGGTGAACGAAAAGTACTAAATAGTACTATATATGGAACAATTTAGTTTTGGGTGAACAGATAGTTTTTGAAATCTGAAATTTGGAATTAAGACTTCTGTTAATGTGTAGTCTGGATATGGATATATATGGAGTTGAAGATAAGGGATTGAAATAAAATTCTGAAATTTAGTATTCAGATTACTGATGCTATCTGTTTTTTAGATTTGGCGAAAAGAACTAAATAGTACTGGTCAGGGGATAGGACAGCAATCATTGCTGGTGGTTTTGGAAATGTGTACTGAAATTGTACGAAAAGAACTAAATAGTACTAAAATTTATATTAAGTTAAAGGATAGGACAGGAATCCTCATATTTAATATCGAGGAATCTGTTGGTATCTGGATAGGGCTGGAATTCTTAAATTTTATATTGAGGTCTCTTTTTTGGTATATGGAATTGAGGTATGGGTATGTATGGTATGTTTACTATAATTAGAGAAATAGAAATAGAGCTGAAAATCAGAAATTTGATGTGGAAGTGACTGTTAGTGTCAGTGGTTGAGAGAAGGAGCTGGTTTTAGATACGTGAATTATAATGGTACTAAATTTAGTAATGGGGGAATTTAACGAACTGAAATCTTACAATTTAATATTAAAGTCACTATTGGCATCTTAGGTTGAGATATGGGATTGTTTTGAAAATGCATACTATAATCGTTACTAACTGGTAACTGGGATTGAAACATGTAGGTGGTTTTAAAAATGTGTACTATAATTGTATGAGAAGCTATTTAGTGCTTACAAGGGATAGAACTGAAATCCTCAAATTGGATATTGATGTCTGGAATTGAGGTATGGGGGTGGTTTTGGCAATGTGTAATATAATTGTAAAAATTTCTGAAAAAGATCTAAAAAACTGAAATTTGATATGGAAGTCTAAATTTGGTAATGAGAGAATTCAAAGAGCTGAAATATATCTAAAGTGGAGATATGGATGGTAATTTTGGAAATGTGAACAATAATTGTATGAAAAGTAATAAATTTGGTATTAGGCGATAACTCTTAGTGTCTAAGATTGATATATGAAATGAGTACTAAAATTATACGAAAAGTAGTAAATGTTACTAAATTTGGTATCGAGTGATTGTATAGAGCTACAATTCCGAAATTTGATATTGAGGTCCCATGTACGGTGTTTGAAGTTTCAATTAAGGAATTTTGTAAAACTGAACAAATTGTGCATTTTGAGTACCAAAAAGGTCTAACACGAACTGTTGAAACGATCCTAAAATTTTCAGCTTTTCGCTGTTGAAGTATCGGGCACTTGCTAATTTTGATATAATTGCTTCTAAGCTCATGTTGGGCTTATGTGAAATCGGAGGAACATGGGGTCATATGTTACTCTATCTATCTTCCACGCCAACACTATCGTACATTAAAGCTAAATATTCAGTAGAGATTCTTGTTGACATAGGCTATATATGCTCTCAACGCTAATGTAGTTAGCATTCTTTTGTTACATAAGAATGAAATGTAAAATTTCGTAATATAACAATATAGGAAATGCGAGCAATTAAGGTCAATTGCAGAACAGAAAGCCAACATTGTTGTATTTGTTTAACGTCTAATTAAATATTGAATTCAACCGCACCTGCATAGAAGTTGTAAAAGAAAAACTAACGTCAGTCTGGCATTGATGCTATTGTGGCTTTATTAAAATTCTACTAAAAAATAATTTTAATTAACAACTTTGAATATTAGAATGAGGATTTTGAAAAATATATTTCCAATTCTGATTTGTTTAACATTTTCCCCGACTGGGGTTATCTTAGATGACGCGGAAAATGAGTTACATACAGCTGCAGTAAGACTAAAGAAAACCTATTCGAATGTAATTCATGCCGGTTGTAAGTAAAAGTTTTTTTTTTTTTTTAATTTTCTAAGTTGTTTTATTTACTTAGTTATTTATTTCTTCCCATTTCAGGTACCATATTTGGTCCAGTTGCCCTAAATCAGGGCCAAAATATACCTCGCCTCGAAAAGGTCTCATTTCAATTACGAACGCCAGGCATGCGTAAAGATTTCCCCTTGAGCACGGTTAAAAATCTAAGAGAATTTCCCCAGTTCGATGCCAGGAAGAAAACAATTCTATTTGTTGTGGGATGGGTTGTTCCAATGGATCGAGATTTTATTGATAGCACGGCAAAAGCTTTCCACTGTCGTGGAGGAAATAACTTCTTGGTATGGGTAAATATTATTTTTTTAAACAATTCATTAGACCTTCTCTTTTGCAGGTTTTCAATCCGGGAAGATACATTTCCCAACTGTACGTACGCTCGGCTGCCAACATTCAGAAATTGGGAGAGTTCATTGCAATTGGTCTGGTAAAATTATCCATTCCTCCGGAAAATATCCACCTGATTGGTCATAGCTTGGGTGCCCACATCGTTGGCATTGCTGGGCGTTATTATCGAAAATTAACAGGACTGACGTTGCCTCGCATTACAGGTCTGGATCCGGCCCGACCATGTTTTGTTCGACCCAGTGTTTTTCCACGTTTGCAACGCACCGATGCCAAATTTGTCGATGTAATTCATGCAAATCCCTTCGATTTGGGCTTAGAAGATCCCCTGGGACAGGTGGATTTTTATCCAGGCGGCCTAGATGTTATAAAGCCGGGATGCACAATGTTGGCCATACTTTGTTCGCACGACAGGGGAATCCACTTTTTTGTGGAAACTGTTTATCCTCGGGGAGAGAATAATTTTATTGGTCGTAGCTGTAGAAGTTACGAGGAGTTGTTTTACAAGAATTGTTCGGGACCTGCTGCAACGATGGGCTATGCTGCCAGCGATAGCGTGAAAGGTATTATTTATATCGCAGTACGAGATAGCCCTCCATATGGACTCAATGCAAAATTAAACATCACATCCAATCAATGTTGACCCCGAATGGTACCGAAGGTATAGGCCAATATTTTTATCAATTTGACCATATAGACTACTTCCTCCACTCTATATGAGATATGTGTTAATTTATGGAAAATGTGGAAATGTGCGTTAGGTTCCAGATATAGAGGACCGATGTATTCCACTTCGTCTAATACTAATAAAAATTTAATAAAAATCTAACAATTACTTCGGAGTTATTGCGAATAGGTTTTAATCAAAATATTAACCTGTTGTGGACAAGGAACCAGAAGGAGTTCACATTAGATCTCTGGTTGAAATAAAAATTTAGATGCTTCAAGAATTTCTGACTTGTTTCACAAGTTATGATAAATATTGTTACTAAAAACTTGTGACCCTTTGTGGGGAGGTACCAGAATAATCTTTGGTTAATAGAAATATTAGGACGTGCCAAGTTTGAAAAAAACTAGGTGCTCATTTAGCTTTTTATAAACTTCATGGTTTTTTAAAATCTTGATACCTTTTAGGAGGAGGAGGTTCCAGAATGAGTGGTCCGATTTAATCTTCCCAAAACAAGGTTTTTCTCAATAAAAATTGGCCACCACCATTTCTAAATCCTAGAAACGAACAGTGACCTCAACATCAAATTTCAGGATTCAAGTTCTACCCATTCACTCAACGGAAAATTTAGTACTATTCGAAAATTCACAGTACATATTCCCGAATCCACCTTCTTCTCTCAAAACTATATACAAATCATATTTCAGAATTTCAGCTCTATCCTAAGATCCAACCCCAAATATATTACCATACAGTTATGTTCTATGCTCTTTTCCCACAATCATGCTACGAATTTCCAAAACTACTTTCTTTCCTCAACTACAGACATCAACATCAAATTTAGGGATTCCAGCTATATTGTAACCCCATCCCCCCCCCCCCAAAATCAAAATTTAGCAGCATTTAGTGATTTTCGATGCATTCTCAAAACAACCTTCGTATCTCAACCTGAGATACCAAGAGTGACTTTAGTATCAAATTTCAAGATTTCATCTCAATTCGTTGATCCATTACAAAATTTAGTTCCTTTTAGTAATCTTTGTAAAATATTGTCAGAAACAATTTCCATATCTCAATTACAGATATCAACAGAGAACATCAATATCAATTTGGAGGATTCCAGCTCTATCCCTTCACCCGATACCAAATATAGTACCATTTAGTACTTTTCGTACCAATTTATGACGCATGTTCAAACCACTGTCAAAGCTTCCTACCTACCCCAATCATAGGCTCCCACAGTAATCCCAATTAAAATTTCTGGATTCCAACCCTATCGGTTGGCTCAAATACAAATTGAGCCAAATTTAGTTCCATGTAAAACACAGGATACCAACTCTATTGGTTCACGTACAATTTAAATTGTAAAAAATTTAGTTCCATTTAGTACACATTAGTACGAATGTACAATACTACCTACATACCCCAATCTTACACTCCGACAGTAATCTTATATCCAAATTTAAGGATTCCAACTCTATTAGTTCTCCCAAAATTTAAATTGTACCATACTTAGTACCATTTAGTACACATTAGTACGAATTTGCAAAACTACCTACATACCTCAATCCTACAATGAAATAGTAATCTTACTTCCAAATTTCAGGATTCTAATTCTTTTAGTTCCGCAAAAGTTTAAATTGTACTAAATTTAGTACCATTTAGTACTTTTCGTGCGCAAAAGTAAAACTTTCGAAAACTTTCTCTATATCCCATTTCTACACTACGCCAGTAATGGTAATTAAATGTTTCAGGATTCCAGCGCCATTTGTTCCGCCGAATTCAAAATGTACTAAATTTAGTACTTTTCGTGTGTATATGAGTACACACTTCCAAAACTACCTTTTACGTCGACTCTACTCCTTAACCTTGATTCCCATTCCAAATTTAAAAGTTTTCAGCTTCACCTGATCGCATGATACGAAATGATACCAAATGTAGTATTTTTCGTATATTTGTTGTTCGTAATTCTAAAAACCTTGTCATACACCCATCATATACCCCGTCAATGACCCTCATTCCAAATTTAACAGTTCTAGCTTAACTGCTTACTCAAATACAAAGGGTACCATATTTTGTACCTTTTAATACTTTTCGTGCCGTTCTAGTACGAATTTCCAGAAACCCAGCGGCATCTGACCCCTTCGGACAAAGAGTGACCCTCACCAAAATTTTCTGGGCGATGATGAATCGCTAAGTCAGTCAATTACTTTACTTTTTATACGCTACAACACTGTGTGTTGGGGGTATTATAAGTTTGATTGGGCCAGAATTTATGTAACACCTCGAAATATTGGTTTCCCATATAGGAAAGTATATATGGATCTTCCTAGCTCGCCGAGCTGAGTCGATCTAGCTATGTATGTCCGTCCGTCCGTCTGTCCATGTTAATTTGTAAACACTCTACAGGTCGCAATTATGGCCCGATCTTCACGAAATTTAAAATGTAGGTGGGGTTATTGTCAGAATAGAACCCTATTTCTTTTAGAGATGATCGCCAAATGTTGAGGGGTTGAAATGGACCAAATACTGAAAAAATGTCGGATTTTGCAGTAGCTATACAGGTCGCAATTATAGACCAATCGACACGGAATTCCGCATGTAGCTAGAGTTTAGGGCGGGGAAGAAGCCTACCAAATTGGGTGGACCATATCTTTTGTGTTGAAAAAATTCAAAAATTTTCATTAAACCGCAAATATTTTAAATCCTGGCGAAATCACGAAGCCATGACAAGGTTACTTCTGATCTTTATATTGATGTTAACATCCAACAAAACGGATATATAGCAAAATATTTGCGATATATATGTTTATCAAAGAAGATATGCTTGAACGATCTCTTATATGTCGAGAACGGCTGAACAGATTTCGACAGTTCTCATTAATTCAGAATGGCCTCTTGGCAGGAAAGAAAAAAGTCTAAAAAAATCGCATAAAAATAGATGAAAATATAGATTTTGTAAAATTTTCTTATATTTTTTCAATTTTGTCATATTTTTGGCATATTTTCATTTTGAATTAAACATTTGGTAATATTTCTACAGCTAACAAAACTAAGTAGTTAGGATTTCAGGATATCATATACAGATCGCATTTATGGCCCAATCTTTACGAAATTTCGCATGGGGATAAGATGAGGGTCAGAATAGAAGCCTACACTTTTTGGAGATGATCGCCATATATTTGAGGGTTGAAATGGACCAAAAAACTGCAAAATTGTCAGCAGGTCGTAATTATCGCCCGATCCTCACTCACATTTGAATGGGGGTCACCGAACATTGCAAAAGCCAAGCAGTTTTGGATGGCCAAAATACGAAAATGTCCATTCCAGTGACTTTTTGGAGAATTCACAAACACAGGAAAGACGCACTTCTGACAATTTCGTTAACGCTGATTTCGTTGAAGAATATAATCAAATGTCTGTATCTCATATAGATGCGCATCAGTCAAAAACCAATAATAAATGTTAATCTTTTGCCACTTCTGAGAGATTGTAGGTCTTTGGGAAATATTGGTTCCAGATCTAGGAAGACTATTTAAGTGCAACATCTACCAATAAATTGGAAATTAGCAAATTAGTTTAAGTTGCTATTTTTCGAAAATTTGAGAATGAAGCCTGAAACGTTTATTATTTGTCACAATATCTTGTGGAATTCTTTCGAGTTTCTCGCCTATATCATTTATTATAGTGTTGTAGAGTATTCAACGGTCGGCCCCGCTCGACTGTAGCCTTTGCTTACTTGTTTTCGTATCCATTTGTCTTTGCCCGCTAAATGTTATAATTTCGGAGCATACTTTTAGGCTTATTGAAAATATGAAATTAATAGAATTTCTTTTCTTTTATTTTCACATATGTCTGATCAATAATTGTTTGTCCCATTTATGCTTTTAAAAATCTGAGCGTGTACTACTCCTTATATATATACAAAAATACTTCCAGTGCAGATCAGCTAGGCCGAACTTTTCATACCCCCTACAGTGTGAAAACTTGATTTTTGGCCAGCCTAATTCTCAAAACCCACCAATAAAGATATTCTGAAATGGAAAAATTTTAACAACTCATTGAGAGCCTGAAATGTGTAATTGCCGTTGAAGTTATTGGAAATTAGGGCTTAAATGTTCAAAATATCAAAGAAAATTTAAGGTACTGCTATATTGAGGCTAAACCCAAAAGTTAATTCACATAATTTTTTTTTTTTAATTTTCCTCAGAGACATTGAAATGGTTAATTAGTGGCTTTCCTTTGTTTGGCCGTTTTTGTCAGAGGGAAGCTAAAAATCCATATTGTTTGAGTTGTTTGAAGATTACAGTCGAGGTCTCTGTGAAGTGTGTTTTCAACGAGTGTGAATACTGGTTACAAATCAGTGTTAATTTTTTGTTTGGAATTTTCTGTTCAACACCTCGCCAAGCAAACATCCCCGACGACACTGATTATATCCTAGATTTAAAAATTCATAAATATCATCACTTTATTTTCTTTTCGATTTCGTTTCGATTTTTGTGTGTTTCTTTTATGACGCCGATTGTATTATTGTGTGTTTTTCTTCTGCATTCCATAAATACATATGCGCGTATAAGTGAGAACAAAGGAATTTCCAATCAATCGATGATGAACTTATTCGTTATTCATTCGATATTTTACATTTCAGTTGAATTATAAACGAGACGGGGTAACAACGTCCAGGCTTAAGAATCGTCCGAAAGGAAACCAAAATTATTAAATTAAAAAATAATAATTATGTCAATACCAGTTTTTATTCTGCTGATGGTTCTTCTCATCTACTCACCTGGAGGCAGTACTTTAAAAGCGAAAGCAGATGGGAATAGTTCGGAAGACGGCATAAATCTTAAAATATCCGATGCTGTACATGCTGTGTGTAAGTATTGAAATTTTTATTTTAAGTGCACCCCTAGCCTTATGACTACAGAGGTATATTTTGATACGTTTGTTATGATTGTCGAACTTAAAAAGACGTTTTAATCTTAAAATATAGAAAAATTCTGATGTAATTTAAAAAAAAGCGGGCCGAATTTAGAACGCCTTCACAATTTGGAATGAATTTGGAAATAAAAAAAAAACTAAAAATTAAAATTAAAACTTAAATCCGTTAAAAATTCTATAAAATTTTAAAAATACAGAATATAGGGGGCTATCTTTGTTTTGTGGAACTGCATCGGAAATTTTCTGTTACAAGCTGTAGTACTCCATTAGGAACTTCAAATGCTATATTTAAAACAATTTCGGAGAATAATATAGCTCAAATCATCAAAATACCGACTATAGGACCCGAATCGACATCATAGATTGTAGTACCCATTATGAGATTCAAATACGAACTTTGAAACAATTCGGATCAAAGAGTCGCTAAAATCAAAATACCGAATACTGGGAGGTATTGTTATATGGGGGCTATTGACATAGCCTGTAGTACCCATTGCGAACTTTAAATATGAAATTTTAAACAATTCGGTAAAAACGTTAAAAACATCAATATAAGGAATATCGGGGGTACCGTTCTATTGGGGCTTTGCGATATCATGGACCTATATAAGTTATTCTCTACCAGGGGTAACGTCCGAATATCAAAATACCAAATATCGGGAGGTACCGTTATATGGCAAATACAGGGTGAGAGTCACTGCAACAAAGTCAAACGCCATAATTTTTACATTTTTTAAACTTTTTTGAATGGTATCCGGAGATTTTGGTGGCGATTGTGCGCTGGAAATGAAGCGAGGATCCTCATTTTGTAACCATTCTTGGGTGGCGCGTGCTGAGTGCGATGGTGCTGAGTTCTGTTGGTATGTCCAAGGTCTGCGGCCAAAATGCATGCCCAAGGCCTTAAAACACTCTCCAGAATATTTTCGCGATAATATTTGACATTTATTCTGATGCCACAGTCGATTAATGCGAGCGGAGAGCGATCATCGGCTGTTATGGCGGCCCACACCATCACCATGATCGGCGCTTGAGTTCCGATGGCCAACCGAAGGTGCACATTTTCAGCAGACCTCTTTGGCAAGAAAACACGATCATTTTGTTTGTTTACAAACTGCTGGACAACGAATGTTTTCTCATCGGAACGGAGAAAACCAAATTCGGCAGTTCACTATTTTTTCATTCTTTTGAGTCTATTTTCTTTCTGTTGCGGTGTAAGTTGTTGCACTTTTTGGAATTTCAATGGCTTTACCCCGAGCTCATTTTTTAATATTTGCCGAATGGAATATTGCAATATGTTCAGATCAGGAGCCATTTTTCGGCCACTGCGACGCGGGTTTCGATCAAGTCGCTTCTGTCTGAAGTTGTTTGCAGTTTCTCCATCTCACTCTGTATATACGATATCGTAGACCTTTATAGACAACCCTTATATCCTTGTGTATAATTTCAGATATTTCAATTGAAAAATGTGGCTAAAATCATCAATATTCAGAATATCGGAGTATACCGTTATATAGGGCCTAAACGATATTGTGCACCGATATAACCCATATTTCAACTTGACCTGCCTGCAGGACAAGACAAGAGACGGACAGACAGGCAGGGCTAAATCGTCTTAGAATTTTTAAGGACTTATGTTATGAAATGGAGAGATATAAACGTGGACTTTTTTAGAAAGCTTTCCGGGACCGTCAGATTTATATCCTCAGATTTCTCGCCGAGTAATCAGAGTTTTTCTAAAAACTTAATTTTGGAGGCACTCTTTGAGCAAATGAGTGATATGCTCATGGAATATTCCGGTCGACAAACTTGACTGTCTATATTCTAACATTTTTTTATTATTTTGTCACAATTAGGTCCCTTTTTTGGAAACGCTGCCAAGAGTCACCCGCAAAACCCACCAATATTGGAGCAAGTTTATTTTCAGTTTCAAAGTGCTTGTCGATCCAGAGAGTACCCAATACCAGAGACGAAGAAACTTCTTGAAATACCGGAATATGATGGAAATAAAACCACTGTCGTATTTATTCCCGGCTGGATGGCATTGCCAACTGATAGGTTCGTAAGTGCCCTGGCAAAAGCCTATCATTGTAGGGGAGGTTATAATTTTGTGGTAAGTGAAATGTTACTAACATAACGCCCGCCCAACTTTTACAAATTTCCTTTTCAGGTTCTCAACACAAACGGTTTTCTTTCGACTGGCTATTATACATCCGCCTTTAATACGGACAAGCTTGGAGAATTTGTGGCTATGGGTTTGAGAAATATGCAAATTGCACCCGAACGCATTCATTTGATCGACCATAGCTTGGGTGCCCATATTGCCGGCTTAGCGGGTAGCCATTATCAAAATTTGACAGGCCACAAACTGGAACGTATCACCGGTCTGGATCCGGCTAGACCTTGTTTTGTTGCACCCATTATATTTCCACGATTTGCTGCTGATGTGGCGAAATTTGTTGACGTAATTCATTCCAATCCCAATGACAGCGGCATTAAGGAACCACTTGGCGGTGTAGATTTCTATCCAGCGGGTGTGGACACCATAAAGCCGGGATGTATGGGTCAACCGGATAATTGTTCGCATTTACGTTCAATTTATTATTACATTGAAACTCTTTATCCCGGTAATGAAATAAATTTCAAAGGTATTCAATGTCATCATTTTGAGAATTTGGTGGCTAAAAATTGTAGTGGCAGCAAGACCAATGTTGCAATGGGCATAGCTGCATCTGCGGAGAATAAAGGCATATTTTATGTTTCCGTTAATGGTCGACCTCCTTATGGTACAAATGCAAAGCCTGCAAATGACAATACAATGTCCGATAAGTGTGGCGAATGTTCGAAATGATAATAAATAAAATTAAGATGAGATAAAATTTTTTTTATTGTTGAGGTATTGGGCGCCAAAACAGCTAAAAACGGAGCGGACAAACTCTGGCATCAATAAGACCACACCTATTCGGAAACCTGAAATCGACCTGAACCTGACATTTTTTTTTTGTGACAAGGTTTTTTATTTTCTATAATTTCAAAATATTAATCAATAGCCACTTCTCCGGGGGAAAAGGTGGATAGAACCATCAAAAAACCTTAAATCAGATAATGAACAATTTTTGTACTGCGAATATCGATGTTGTGGCTGAAACCATCTAAAAAATAACAAGTTAAAAAGCAGTAAGTTCGTCCGGGCCGAACTTTGAATACCCTCCACCATTTGGAACGAATTTGGAAATTTTCAAAAAATAAAATCCTTAAAAAATTCTGTTTAAATTTTCAAAATACCGAATATAGCCGTTTTATTGGAGTCTGTGCGACGTGGACCTACATAGGCATTGTTTGTCATAAGCCATTGCCATATTAAAATTCGAAAACTTGAAATAAACGTTGAATAATGTAGCTAAAATCATAGAAATATCATATATAGATATGTACCGTTACATCGGAGCTGTGCATAGACTTGGACCAGCATAGACAATTTTCTGTCATAGGCTGTAAAATCGTCGTCAAAATACTGAATATAGGTAGGTACTGATATATGGCACCTGGACCTGCATAGAAAATTTTCTGTCATAGACTGTAGATCCCATAACGAATTCTAAATACGTAATTTGAAACAATTCCGGTGAACAATGACGATAAAATCATCAAAATACCGAATATTGGGAGGTGCCGTTATATGGGGGCTATACGAAGACGTGGACCTGCACAGACAATTTTTTTGTCATAGGCTGTAGTATCCATTACGAAATTCAAATACCAAATTTAAAATAATTCCAGTGAGTAATGTCGTTAAATTATCAAAATACCGAATATAGGGAGGTACCGTTATATCGGGGCTATACGAAGACGTGGACCAGTAAATTTTCTGTTTTAGGCTGTAGAATCCCTCCCGAACTTCGAATACCAAATTTTTCCGGTGAAGAATGTCGCTAAAATCATCAAAATACCGAATATCGGGAGGTACAGTTATATCGGAGCTATATGAAAACGTGTACCTACGTGGCCCATTTAAGAACTTAACCTGCCTACTGGAAAAATAAACATGTGTGCAAAATTTTAGCCTTCTATCTCAATTCGTTCGAAAGATAGCGTGATTATAACAGACAGACGGACATCGCTAAATCGACTTAGAATTTTACGCTGATCAAGAATATATATACTTTGTTGGGTCTGACATGAGTATTTTCCATAGTATGGTGGAGGGTATAAAAAATATGGAAATCTCTCTCTTTCGGTATTTATATGATTTTAGCGACATTTTTTGCCGGAATGATTTCAAATTGTGTATTAAAAGTTCGTAATGGTTAATACAGCCTATGACTGAAAATTACCTATGCAGCTCCATATAACGATACCTCTGATATTCGATATTTTGATGATTTTAGAGGCCTTATTCACCAGAATCGTTTAAATTTTTGTGTTTGAATTTCGGAATCGGTACTTATGAAAGACCTCGTCTTCGTATTACCACTATATAAGGGGTTTCCTTTGAGCGGTATTTTTCGACGAATTTTTTTTTGGAAAATTTCCAAGTTCCTCCAAAATGGAGGAGGGCATTATAAGTTCGGTCCGGTGTTTTCCCGCGGACTAAAAAGGAAAATAGGTGTATTCCTACAAAACAAAAAGAATCCAGAAAGGAAAATTCGGTTGAATATGAAAAAATTTATTCAAAGTGGCCTAATATTAGATATATGGTGGACAATAACAGTAAAATCGGATGAAGATGTATATCGAAGCTATATAAAAATCTGAGCCTATCTCGATTAAATTTTGCAGAGGCATTTTCGGTATGTTATGCCCAGTATCAAACATCATTGTTGTGGAGTGCATATTATGCATGTGAGGAACTTTCACACCAAATCAGATGAAACATATATACGGGAGCTATAACTATATTTGAACTGATTTTCCCAAAAATTTTAAGCACTTGCTTTTAGGCTGAACTCCTTCGGCCAAATTTCAGTCCATTTATGCTGATATTGGCCCTTTTGGTCCACAAAAAACCTGAAATCGGATAATGAGAGCTATATCCTAATCTGAGCTGTATCAGATATTTGATACCAAAGTTTATTGTTGTGGTGGTGGCATGTAAGGGAGTTAAACCACCAGATTGGATAAAACATAAGCCTTTGGACTGATATTGACCATTTCGTTCACAATAAACCTGATATTGGTCAAAGATACACCAATTCAATAGGGTTCGTCCTTGGGCCCTTTGGCAAAATGATTCTATGAAGATCCTTAAAATAACTATATCAGAGGAACTTTGTTATTTTCATGCCGGGAGCGTCTCCAGGTGGTGGTTAGGAGAAAGGCGGATGTTTCACCACACATAGCATGGAGGGTACATTAGGTTCGTCATTCCGTTTGTAACTCATCGAAATAATAATTTTAGACCTAACAAACAAGACCTATTCCTGATCAGCGTAAAATTGTAAGACGATTTGGTCCTGTCCGTACGTCCATAAGTCCGTTAGCCCGTCAGTTTTAATCACGCTGAAGTCAAAACCAATTAGGATAGGAAACTAAAATTTTGTACAGATCACTGATTTGTCTGCAGGCAGGTCAAGTGGTCCACGATATCGTATGGACCCCATATAACGGTACCACCCGATATGCGGTATTTTGATGATTTTAGCTGCTTTTAAAAAAAAATTCTTCTGAGTACTTTTCCCCCGGAAGATAAATAGGGCCACGGTATTGTATAGCCCCCATATAACGTTATTTTGATGATAGTAGCCAAAATGTTCATTGAAATAGTCTGAAAAATCACACAAAGATTTTTTTCTGGATACCCCCGGCATTCGCTATTTTCATGATTTTATCCACATTTTTTAATGAAATTGTCTTAAAATTCACACCAGGAGTTTCTTCTGAGTGCTTCATCCCCTGATATTTAATTTTTTTATTGATCCACAATATTCTATATCCCCCATATAACGCTACCCCCATATTCGGTATTTTGATGATTTTAACGATTTACCGGTCTTTTTTAATTTTCGTATTTAAAGCTCGTAAAGGGTACATCCGCCTATGACAGAAAATTATCTATGCAGGTCTACGTCTTCGTATAGCCTCCTTACAACGGCACGACCCCTTATTCGGCATTTTGATGATATTAGCGACATTTTTTACCGGAACTGTTACAAATTTCGTTTTGAAGTTCGGAATCGGTACTATAGTCTATGACAAAAAATTACTTATGAAGCACCACGCCTTCGTATTGCCTATATATAACGTTTTTCCTTTGAGCGGAATTCTTTTTTGGAAAATTTTCAAGTTCCTTCAAAATGGTAAAGCTGCTTCTTTGTTGCTGTTGTTGACTACCTGATTGAAGCTGGGTGGTGCCACTCGCCTTAGGGAACCTGGTGTATCCGCGTACGTACGGGACCAAATCGGAATCGATTTCGACAAAACTTGAAAAAGTTACCTTGAGGATTGGGTACATCTTGTATCGTTGTTATGGAGTGTATAATAGAATTTTGGGTGACTTATATATAAAATCGGATAAAACAAATCTATGCGAGCTATAGATATATCTGAATCGATTTTCACAAAATTTGACATAACTTCTTTTAGGCTCAATTTGGTCGCATGTGCTGAATTCCATCCTATTTGGACTAATATTACATATTTGGTGTACAGTAAAAGACAAATCAGACGAACATATTTATGGAAGCTATATCTAAACTTTGACCTAAACTTGCGAATTTCAATAGGGTTTGTCCTTACCCCAAACAAGTAATTTGTACAATATTTCACCTCGTTCCGGCAATAAAGGCGACCTGTACTTTGTTTATGAAAATACATGAAAAGACGGACGGACGGACAGATGAAGGAACATGCATAAATCTACTCAGAATGTGCTTCTATGAAGATCATCAATAGGAACTATAGGTCTATCTCGCTTCCGTCTTACAAACAAATGCACAAACACCTAATACCCTGACCACAATGTGGTGTAGGGTATAATAAAACAATAGTATTAATACGATTAATAATATTGTTGTCAAATATATTAATGATTTTATTCATTACAAAAAATCCCCTCACTCACTCACAGAGCAAGTGACAAATGTTGATGACTTTAGAATTTATTACAAATACACCATGAAACAAAAAAAAAATAAATAAAAAAATAAAAAATAAAATAAAATCGTTAAACTCAAACAATAGTTATCTTAACTCAAGTAGTACTAAATGAAAACTATATGTGGATCTTCCTATCTCGCCCATCCGTCCTTCCGTCTGTCCATGTTAATTTGTAATCATGCTACAGGTCGCAATTATAACCCGATCCTCACGATATTTAAAAGGAAGGTGGAGTTAAGGTCAGAATAGAAGCATATTGTTCTTGGAGATGACCGCAAAATATTTAGGAGTTGAAATGGACCAAAATAGAAAAATTTCTTGATTTTGCAATTGCTCTAGAAGTCAAAATTATATATCAATCGAATCGAAATTTATATGAAATATACTTCAACCTCTATGTAAAAAATTACGGAAATTTCTAATAAACTGCGAATATTTTTAATTCCAGACCGTTAAATTTATGCTGATCACCAAGATATCGCATAAAATATATACAATCTCATATATCAAAGAGGGGGATGTTAGACCGTTTATACGGGTGTACGGATTTTGACAATTCTCACCAATTCTCACCCGCTAGACTTTTGACCTTTCTTTACTGGTTTTAATATGTCAATGTATTTAAGATACTTTTAATACCCTACACCACAAGGTGGTCAGGGTCTTATGTCTTTGTACATTTGTCTGTAACAGGCAAAAGGGAACGAGATAGACCCATAGTTCCTTTTGATGATCTGCATAGAATCACATTCTGAGTCGATTTATGCATGTCCGCCTGTCCATGTAT